TAATAAGAAGAAGAAGAAGAAGAAGAAGAAGTAGAGAGATCTTGTAGCGTCTTTGAGACTCACTGGAAGAAAGAAGTTGGCAGCATGAGCTTTCCTAGACCTTAATAATAATAATAATAATAATAATAAGAAGAAGAAGAAGAAGAAGAAGAAGAAGAAGAAGAAGAAGTAGAGAGATCTTGTAGCATCTTTGAGACTCACTGGAAGAAAGAAGTTAGCAGCATGAGCTTTCCTAGACTTTGGTCCGAGGAAATGCATCTGAGGGAGTAGGCTGAAGTCTACGAAAGCTCACACTGCAGAAACAATCCCAGTTTAAGACCGCTTTAATAGCAGCAGCCCTGGGAAGTGTAGCTTTGTGAGACATTGAGCCTTCTCTGTCAGAGAGTTCTGGGGCCGCAAGAAATTACAGTTCCCAGGATTCCCTAGCACTGATCCAAGTCAGTTAAAGCGGTCTCAAACTCCAATAGAGAAGGCTCTGCAGTGTGTTTTGGACTCAGGGCTAAGAAGCATGGGTTTATATTTAGGTTGAATGTTTTGAGCTTTTCTTTGGCCATGCCCTCCCTTTTTTTCTGGCTTGTCCTCCATTTTGCAGTGCCTCGTCCTCCTTTGTGGTTAGGACATCTGGTCATCCTGCCTACATTTCAGCCTTCTCTCCAGGAGGAATTCCAAAATGCCCTCCCTTTGAAGCGGGACTCAGAAACATTCATTTATATTTAGGATGAGTGTTTTGAGCTTTTCTTTGGTCATGTCCTCCCTTTTTCTTGAAATGCAGTCCATTTTGCAGGGCCTTGTCCTCCTTTGCAGGATGACCCGGCACCCTGCTTTTCCAAGACCGGTCCTACATTTAAACCATCTGTCCAGGAGGAATTCCAAAAGGTCCTCCCTTTGGAGCAGGACTCAGAAGCATGGGTTGAGCGTTTCTAACTTTTTATCGGGTCAGGCCCTTCATGTTTTCTGGAACGTCCTCTATTTTGTGATGCCCTGTCCTCCTTTGAGGTTGGGGCCCACCTCAGGTCAGCCCTCCAACCCCACTGTCTTCCTCAGGGCTTCTTAGCTATCTCCAGTTCTAGGGATTGTCTTCCTTTATGGTTATAAAGTGATCTGATAGCCCTGTTTAAGTATTTGAAGGAATGTCATATTGAGGATGGAGAAAGCTTGTTTTCTGCTGCTCCAGAGATTAGGACCCAGAGCAATGGATGCAAGCTACAGAAAAAGAGATTCCACTTCAACATTAGGAGGAACCTCCTGACAATAAGAGCTCTTTGACAGCGGGATAATCTGCCTCTGAGTGTGGTAGAGTCATAGAATCACAGAACTGAAAGAGACCTCAAGGGCCATCCAGTCCAACCCCCCTGCCGTGCAGGAACTCACCATCAAAGCACCCCCAACAGATGGCCACCCAGCCTTGGTTTAAAGACCTCCAAAGAAGGAGACTCCAAAGAAGGAGTTTGGAGGTTTTTGAACAGAGGCTGGATGGCCATCTGTTGGGGTGCTTTGACTGTGTGTTCCTGCATGGCAGGGGGTTGGGCTGGATGATCTTTTAGGAGTCTATGATTGGATCAGGGGTCTCCACGGTTGCCCTTTCAACCCGCCTCCTGGTCACACTGTAGTGGGAAATAGGCCCTTCAATTCAATCTTGAGAAGGGCTGGGAAGGGGCCATCAGCCAAGGACCATTCAGTAAAACTGAAATATCTTTAGGAGTGAGGGAGCGGAGTGTGAGACCAGTATGGTGCAGTGGTTTGAGCATTGGACTAGGACTCTGGAGACCAGGGTTCAATTCCCAGCTCAGCCATAGAAATCCTTTCAGGGTGACCAGGTGTCCTTGCTGCCAAGGAGGAGAGAAGGCACTCCTAAATGGAGAACTTTCCGAGAAAAAGGGAGGACATGGTCAAAGAAAAGCTCAGCACATTCGTATAAACTCCTGCTTCTTTGACATGTTCAGAATGGAGGATCTTTGGGAATTCCTCCTGGACAGAAGTTTGAAATGTAGGACATGGCCTAGAAAAGGAAGATGTCTGCTTGCCCTGGCCAGAGTTCAAATCCCTGCTTGAGGATACAAAACAAACAAAAACAAAAGCAAACGCACACACACGCACACTGGTTGACCTCTACAAGTCACATGCTCTCAGCCTCAGGGATGGCAATGGCAAAGGCTAACCCCCTCTGAAGAAATGACTTGGAGGCACACATCAACAAAGAACTAAATACTCCCATTTAGAATTTGAGCATAGTTGTAGCTAAGGCTACATTCAGACTGCCTAAATAATTCGGTTTTATGTCACTTTAATTGCCATGGCTCCATACTATGGAATCCTGGGATCTGTAGGATTGGTGTAGTGCCAGAGTGCTCTGCCAGAGAAGGCTAAATATCTCACAAAACTAAAATCCATAGTAAGGAGCCATGTGTCAAACTGTAAGATTTCTGCAGTGCAAATTGGAACAAAGTCAGTGAAAGTCTAATAGATTTTCCAAGGACTTCAGTGGATTTGCTATATTAAGGCTGCATCTGCACTGCAGGAAAAAAAATGCAGTTTCACACTGCTTTAACTGCCATGGCTCAATGGATTAGTAGTTTGGTATGGTGCCAGAGTGCCCTGACAGGGAAGGCTAATTATCTCACAAAACTACAAATCCCAGAATTCCATAGCACTTAAAGCGGTGTCAAACTGCATTATTTCTGCAGTGCAGATGCATCCTTATAGTCTTTCAAAATGGAAATCGTAAGAATTAGTCTCGAAGGTGCTACAAGATCTCTCTACATAAGAAAAGTGGAGGTTGGTGAAAAAAGTTATCCCTTGAGGCATTTTGAAATAAGCTTTCCAGTTGCCTCTAAAATGGTCCAACAGTTATTTGTTTCTGTTTTTTACTTTTTACTTTTTGCTTTTACACATGCAAGGCTTACTAGACATTAGTTCATTTTACTAGTTTTGAATAAACATGCCATGCTTTTTAAAAAATGGTTTAGGAATCTATCCCTAGACTTTCTAAGTTATTTCCAAGTTATTTCTGTAGCTGCCATGGCAACACGCTATGGAATCCTGGGACTGGTATTTTTGTGAGATATTTAGCCTTCTCTGGTACCAAGTCTACTTCATTAACTAAAATACTGTGTAAGGCTGGTGGAGGTTAACTCTCTTGTAGGGGCCACCCATAACAGCAAGAAATTCCTCTCAATGGATATCATAACTCCTGGGATTTATGGCAAAAGTTGGATACAGAACTGCTACTTCCTACAGTTTTGGAGTCTGGCTTGGCTGTATCATACACATGGATTGTTATGGAGAAACAAAGAGCTATGTTCAAACAAGTACATTCTTAGCATTGATGAATACAGAAAGAAAATAAAGATGCCTCATTCCCTAAAGTGACACCACTTTTAAATGGATCCATGATACAAAATGTGTAAAAACTATCTTTTTATTGGGCCAGTGTCAATTTCTTTAAGCTAATGACACACTGGACATTATATAAACCAATGCAGAACAAGAAAAAACAAACAAACATAATATAAGTAGCACAATGTATTTTAAAAGTTAATTAACTTACAAATTATTTTTGTCTTCATACCTACACAGATACAGAGATCTGTTGCAATCTTTCATCACAGGGGCCTTCTGCAGCTCAGATGGATGCAAATACAGCTGCAAGGAGGAAATACTTTATACTTCAAAGGGAGAAGTCTAACTTTATTGACTCTTGTTTTATTGCTTTTGGGGTTACTCAGCTTGTGGTCATTACTCAGCTTATGGCCATGCCTCACTTTATGTCACACATATTTCCCATTCCATCATAATTGAAATTGTAGATGCTGTGACCATGACACTGTCACTTTCTTTCCACTACTGGGTGAAGTGTATCTCCATAGTCAGAGGACAGCATTAATATCTTAAGCATCAAAGAAAACAAAACCACTAGAATGCATAGAGTTTGGAAAGTTACTTTTAAAACACAATTAGTTGCTATTGTTGTCCAACTGCCCAAAAACCTACTTACTGTTATAGTTACATTTTTACAGCAACCTTCTACTTCTGCCTAACAAAGTGCTACAAGACACTGGCCTGTAGTACAGAACGCAACTAAATAGTTTGGCTACTCCCTCTAACAATAACCATAATTAAATCAGTTACCTTTACATTGTTGAAAGAGTGAAATTAGCCACTACAAGAGTAATGCAATATAGTTATATGCTAATTATGGCAGGAGAAATTAGTTACAAGTAATTTGTTCTATGCAGTGAGTAACGTACATGACTGGAATGGGACAGTCTGGTCTTCTGCCATGTTAGATTTTCTATAAATTTTACAGCTGGGCTGATAACTGAGTTCAGGATGCTCTCTAGCCTGCTTGTGTGATCAGTGGCATTTTGATAGCCTTAATAGACTGATCATTTCAAATATCACATACTGCCAAATCATATGCATTGATTGCTGTAGCCTAGTACAGTGGCAATAATATATCAGCAGTTTCCCAAACTACACCAGTTAAAAAAGAATCAAGAGCAATAAAAGACCACATCTCATTTAGGCTGCACATCTGTGCTCCAACCTCAGATGTAAAATATTCATGGATGTGAATCAATCCTTCTGGAATGGTTCAGTTGGGAAGAACAGCTATGTAAGAATGGCACCCTTGGGTTACATGTATGTTGACTGTCAATAATAATAATAATAATAATAATAATAATAATAATAATAATAATAATAATAATAATAGTTTTATTTATAACCCGCCCCTCTGTTCGGCAAACGGGGAGGGGTACAGCAAATTAAAAGTACAGCAAGTAAAAACATTCCATTCTCCCCCCTAACCCTCCCACCCCTTAAAACAGGATTAAACTAATATCAGA